TCTTCTCAAATCTTTAATTTTATGGAAAATAGGTTTAGAATGCTTTTTATTTTACTTACAGTTTCTTAGTGAAAAAAAAAATCATATATATGTGCTAAGGTGTTCTGGATGTCAGATGGATTGGACTTCAGTCTTGATTATATTTGACCACAGAAAGAAAAAGATTAATTTTACTAACTTTTGGGTACTTGTAGTCTTGTAGTTAGTAGTTCATTTTGCCATAATAATCACTGCAGGGGGAAAAAAGATAAAGGAATCAAACTTACAGGTTTCTCAGACTTTCTACTTTAAATACCAACTTAAAATGCTGGCAGTCAGTAGAATGGGGTTTAATACTTTTCTGCTCTTTCTGATTAAGTTTAGTGCAAAAATATGTTGGGCAGGTTTTGGGAGTCAAGATGAATATTGATAAATCTATTTTAGTTTCATTCCCATGGTATTATTGATATATAATACATCCGTAGATTTTCTCAGTTTCCTGCTTTGGGTTTTTTTAGGCTTATTGTGAATATTTAACATTTAAAATTCTAAGTAGTTTATTTATGTTGAGACCTTCTAGATAGGCTTTTACATTATAAAATTATTTTAGCTATTACTCTCATTTGTATGTTGCATAAATCTTTCTCATTTATACATTTTAGTTTCAACTACCTCTGAGGGAACATCTTCCTTTTCTCCTTTATCCATGTCATCTCCTGATTCAGCCTCTCCGGAGAAGTCAGTTCATCTGTTACCCCCAGTTCTGGCCGGACCTTCCTTCTGGACTATGTCCCATCAACAGTTGTCTTCTGCCTCCTTTAAAGATGGAGATAAGACAGCCAAAGTTCATTCCTCCTTTGCTCCTAGGAGCCCAGTGTCTTCTGATGAAGAGGAAAGTGACAACCTCAATCAACTGAAAATTAGTATTCCAGATAACTCTGATTCTGTTAAAAAGAAAAGTCATATTTCTAGCAGTAATTGGGTAGAGTTTTCCACCCAAAATGTAGACCACTTCACCTCTCTGTCCTGTTCTAGTTTTCAGACAACCAGAGGTTTGCCCAGGGAACCTGAAGCAAACAATTCCATTATAGCTCTTCTAGGGGAGGTAAAAAGTGCAGTAGTTAGATTACATGAAGATCTGCGCATGGTGATACAGCAGCTTCATGTTGTCAATAGCCATCTGGTAAGCATGAGTGGCAGTGGTCCACAAGTAAGCCAATCTCTGCAGGTCCCCCAGTTTTCTGAGGGGAGCGCAGATGAAATCTAATGATCTCAATAGCCATTTTCAGTAGAACTCATGTGGTTCCACTTCCCTAAGACTTAAGTTAACATTTTATAGAGTTGCATTACTATGGCAAAAAAGAAAAAAAAAAGGGAGGGGAACGGTGGTTTAATTTTTCCTTATTGGATTATTAACAAGTATTTTTCAAACCAATAATTTCATTTGAGTGGTTTATTTTTTTAAAAAGAAAAATGCCACCTTTGATGATTTCGGATTTGGATATTAGTTCATTTGAAACTGAAGAGAATTTCATTCTTCCATGCTCTGTACTTTCCCTCAAAGTGGGTTAAGCATTAGTGGAAGTTGTAGTAAGACCTCAAACTGCAGATGACTACTGGAGAGCTTCTGGATACGCGGGCAGTAAGAAGCGCTTGACTTTTCAACTGTGTGGCGCTTCATTGTTAACAAGCCTTTGCAGTGGCCTAGGAGGATTGAGTTTGGGGTATGCGCTTCACATGTCCTCTTGCAAGTTTCAGTTTCTGCAAACCAGTGGCCAGAAATCTTCTTTTCCTTCTTTCAGATGCCACAGTGTTGGGAGTTAAGTTGAAACAAGTAGGACATGGGACAGGTGTTTTTACTGTTAATGTGTATTGCAAAGTGAATTCAAACATACAACGTTTTCCTTGTATTTCAGAAAATAAATTTGATGTTTTTCATCTTACGCGTATCTTTTTAATTCATTAAAACAGCCTTTCAAATAGAAATGTCTCAATTATTTATGGGCAAAATGATCTAGTTTGGGAATCGTAGACCAGTGATTCCCAACCCTGCTGCGCATTAGAATCACCATGGAAGCTTTACTTTTGTTTTATATTTGTTCGAGAGAATAGTGTTATGGTCACCATGTTCCCATCACGCAGTTTCAACGATTACCAACTCGAGGCTAAAATAATCTTGATTATTTTGAAGATATACAGAACATTTTAAAAATATACTAATGCCTAAGTCCTGCTCCCGGACAAACTGAAACTAGTTTTCATCATGCGAACTGGGTTAGGGGAGAGAAGGAATTGTCAGTGCAGACCCTAAAGTGGGAGGAAATTCAGCATGTTTCAGGAATGGCAAGGAGACTGGTGTGGCTAGAGGGAAGTGAGCAAAGGGGAGAGTAGCAGGAGAGTAGGTCATGGATCAAAGAGCAGGGCCTGGTCCCAGGTGACATAGGTTCTTAAAGACCATTAGAGATTTTGGCTCTCTTCTGCGAAGAAAAATGACAGAGGTTTAGGGTACAAAATGACATGAAGTGACTTAGATTCTAAAAGATCACTCTGGGCTGGGCATGGTGACTCACACCTATAATCCCAGCACTTTGGGAGGCTGAGGAGGGAGGATTGCTTGAGGTCAGGAGTTCAAGACCAACCTGGGCAACATAGTGAGACCCTGTCTCTACGAAAAGAAATTTTTTTTTTAATTAGCTGGGCGTGGTGGCATGCACTTGTAGCCCTATCTATTTGGGAGGCTGAGGCAGAAGGATCACTTGAGCCCAGGAGTTTGAGGTTACAGTGAGCTGTGATCATGCCACTGTACTACAGCCTGGGCAACAGAGCAAGATCTTATCTCTAAAAAAAATAAAAAATAAAAATAAAAGATCACTCTGGCTTTGGCAGGGGAAGTGGTGCAGGGACATAATGTGAGGCAGGTAAGCCAATTAGAAGGCCACTGGTATCCAGGTGAGAGCTGTTGGTGGCTCAGAGCATGATGGGCATTGTGAAGGTGTATGAGATTTGATTAGTTCAGGGACTCACTGATGGATTGGATAAAATAGAGAAGGAGAGGAGAAAAGGAAGAATCCAAGGTATTGGACTGAGCAACTGAAATTCAAGATTGAAGGTGCCATTAACTGAGATGAGTAAAGTGACAGAGAAAATTTTGAGGTATTCATTTTTGGATATGCTAAATTTCAGGTGTCTATTAGATAACCCAGTGGAGATGTCAAGTAAGCACCTGGATATGA